TGTTGCCCATAGGGCAATTTGCGTTGTCAAAGAGCTCTTCATTAAGTGATGAACACATCTCCTGCTGGCACCTGTGCCAAAAGGCTCAGAAGAGCAGGAACAGCCAGAAAACTTCTGACAGACACCAGCAAAACGCTCCACTCAGGACACTGATAATTCAAAGAGCAGGTAAATTTCACTCTACCTATCCACTGGTTTGGAAGTTTAAGAAAATAAATGCATGAGATGCAGGGAAAAGAATTCATTAGCATAGACTTTCTGCAGGCTGCAAATGCACAACCATCCTCACCCTTAACAAGCTCAGGTGCTGACCCCGTGGTCCCTTCTCTTTCCATAGCAGCACCAGCCAGGTGGACAGATTTCCCTCCTGCTCAGAGGTATTGCTGTGTGTGCCAACACAGAAAGATAGGCCTGAGACAGTGCAACATCAGGCTTTTTTCCTTCCCCACAGCCTACTCTATCACTGACCCCTTTCCTTGAAAGTACTGCAAAATGTGATGGAAATTGTATCAGAATTCTCCACACTTTGGTACTTATTTTTCATATCCCTCCTGCTACACTGAAAACAGTAAAATTGAACAAAATTCCATAATGATATATACACATTCAATGTCCAAAAAGAAATTTAAAGTGTTATCTCTGTATAAAACTTCAGATTTTAAGCAGCTAACCAGCTAGCTTGCTAACCAGAGATATTTTGCCTCTGGTACTTTCCCACAAACCATATGTACAATTAAAAAGAATTTGACACTGAAATAAGTATGATTCCTCACGAGAATGAAAGATTACTTTGAATCAGTTGTCCTGACTAGTCAGGGTTTAGGAACCATGCTCAGGTACCTCACAGCTGCTCCTCAACACAACATCCAATAACACCAGGTTTCAGCAGAAAAATTAGTTCAGTATTTTCAATGCTTGTGTTCTTATCTTGTGTCAATAGAGCCTAGGACAGTTGTAGTTTTGATGAAAAGCTGTGTAAATCTTGGATGCACAAAAGTCTTTCTTCCATAAACAGAAGTATTTTTAAGCATGAGATCTGACCTTAGGAAGTAATAATCATACAAAGAGTTCTTGAATTCTGTTTTAGAAAATTATCCACTTTAATTTGATTACACTGGGATTTACTGCTAGGATGGCTTTTTATTTCTTTGTTTGGTACTCCTTTAATTGACAGTGGTAGAAATGCTCAGGCAGCATCCTCACCATAAGAATTATTTAGAACAATTCCTCCATCTGGAATACTCCTCTAGTGAAAGATGATTCACCAAATATTATCTCACCAGAATTTAATACAATATTTAAAAATTCAGCTGCTTGCTTCAACTTCAGCAATTTGCTATTACACAGGGTAGGTGGATGTTTCTGGAGTCTTCTTCATGCTAGCTGATAAAACGTCTCAATATTCAGCATTATAAATCTAAAAATGTAACCAACTACTCACTTCAATTTCTACTGTTATTGTTATGTTTCATTAATGCTGGGCAGTGCTTGCACAGCAAGGCCTTTCCTGCTCCCTGCAAAACCACAGAGAAATTTAATGTCAACGAAAAATGCCATTGCAAAAAAAAAAATACCCTAAACAAGTTCTAACATCTGACATAAAATTGCACTAAAAATTAGAGACTGATAAACAAAACAAACCAACAAAAAAACCCCTCCAAAAAACAAAAAACAAACAAAACAAAAAACCAAAAATAAAACAACCCAGAGAGAATAAACTAGAGGGGCTTAGTACCACGAAGGTAGAAAATTAACACAGCCAGCAATGAAGTTTGCAGCATGTTGGGTAGGATGTGGGGCCACAGAGCTTCAAGGACTCCTGTGAGGAGGGTTATGGTACTGCATGGAGAGATGCAGCACAAGAGAGCGTTTTCCCAGCTCCACTGAGCTCTGAGAGGGGAGTCAGAGACTGGCAACAAACAGACTTCACATACTCAGCTCCTGGCATGCACAACATGACTTGCTGTCTCACAAGTGTTTTTCTACAAAAATAACTGCATTTTTGGCCTCTAGGCCACAGACTTTAGAAAGCTTCACAAAAAACAAAATTCAGCTTCTTGTTTGAGAACTATCTATAGGATAGTAGGCAGAGAAATGTCTGTATAGCAAAGAACCAACTACTAATTATGTTAATAATATTTCAATTATAATATATAATTCCTATAATAATATATAGCCTTTCAAATACAAACTGAGACAACATTGAATAAAGCCCTCAAACTATTTTCATTCTCCATTCTTCATTTTCTTAGTTAAACACAATCAGCTCATCAAAACTATTCAGAAGAGGAAATAAATATTAGCTAAAGAGAAAAAAAAGTTGAGTTTTAAACCACACTGAGTGAAAATCATTCTAAGCAATTTGAGAACCCTATTATGCCACAGTGCACACTCCATGAAGAATGGCAGAAACCATTGGGGAAGATGTTTTTATTGTGACAGAGATTTAATGTGCCATTGTCCTCAACTTCTCTTTTAAGGAGGTTATTTAATTTATGATTTGGATGTAAAAACCAGTTTGTAGTATTGTCACTAACATAATTAATAATATCCTGCTCTCCAGGAAGTGGACATCTGTCATGTGGGACTTTGTCATTCTTTTGATGTCAGAATAACCTCTGGAAGTGTTCCAGGTCTCTAATAATAGCAATGCCATTGTAAAAGCTTGATTACTAAGAAATAGCAGACCATAGAGTATATGAAGCACGTGGAACTTGTATTCATCTTTTGTTATTATAAATCATTGGTGGTGAAATGTGATGCTTAGCCTAGCAACAAAATTTGCAAATATATCTGAATCAAAACATTTTTAGAGAGTTAGTACAGAAATAAACCTTTCTTTTCCTGGTAGATGAGTTTAGAAATCTTATAGTTGTAGTAAAGCTGGCATCTTATCCTGGACTGACAGAATGACTTACTGAGCTTTATCAAGATAACATTTTAAAATCTATTATTAGCTAGATCTTCTTCATGCTTAATTTTGAGGTGCAAAAATCATTGAAATGTCAATGAAAGACAGAAATATCTCTGTGCTAATGTCAATGGTGTACATAAAAAGGACCCTATTTATCTTGACAATAATCAATAGATCTATTTACAGCAATAATATTTTGTTTAGTTGAAATGGAGCAAAAAGAAAAGCATAATTACCAGCCAAGAGAAAAGAAACCTGCAGAGCCACAGTAATTTTTATATTCTGACTTTTTTTTTCCCTAAAGAAAACAGAAGACAAAACCACTTAAATTCCCCAGTCACAATGTATCAAAAGGAAAAATCATTGTACCTCAAAAATTGTAACTACACAGTTCACCTCATGAGATTAATTTTTCTTCCAAGTCTTTTGGGTCTGATGGAGAAACTGGTCAGAGCTGCAAATTAGTGGAAGTGCTAAAAGTAGTAAAATTCAGGACTTCCATTAAATGGGAAGGCTCAGCAGAATGATGACACAAAAAGAATTACTTGGAAAGAGTGAACTTTGTGAAATTTTAAGGAACCAAGCAGAGCAGTAAGAATAAGGGGACATTTAGAGGATGAACCCTGTCCCCCCACTGCTGTTCTAGCTCTGCAGGATCCATCCCATTCTTTCGTGCTACATAGATCACATGCTTGATTTTGGCAGCCCGTCAAATGCAACTCCTCCCATGAAAAATACAGAACATTGATGATCAAGAACCAAAATGAAACTACCAGCAAAGTAGAATGGAAATCAGGCAAATCTCAAATTCAGTAGTGCTTAGCTCATCTGATCAAAATCAGCATCAAAATGTCACTGCTGATGAGAAAGAGAAAACTGATACTGAATTAACTTCATAATTCTGCATCCTTTTTTATCGTTCTACTGCAAATCAGCCTTTAATATCAGCCTTTATTCACCTTTATCCATCACTTGTATTCTGCTTTGGGAGCAAAATGGAGATCCTGATGGGAAACATGACAGGAATCTCTGTTCCAGCTCCCACTCTTGCTGAGACACTGGCTGCAATTCTGCCCTAATCTTTAACGTCCCCATTCAGGGACATGGATATCCCCTGATCGTGTCCACCTGGACCCTCACAGCAAGAGAAGGAGAAACTTTGATCAGGGACAGGGTAGAATTGTTCTTGATGATGGCAGCTCCTATTTCTGCCTGCCTGACCTGTCACATCTCTAGGCTGAACACCACCAGCCAGGGTCCATGAACTTGCTGGACATGTTCAAGGACCAGAGGATCCTCTGGGTGTGCTCTCCATGATGCCTGCCTTTTGTCTCCCTGTTTTCATCTTTTTACTATTACTCCTTCTTCATTTTCTCATTTATTGTCATCTCCTTTTCCCCTTCTCATTAGAATCCGGTTGTGTTTCAAGGAGGTGGAGTGGGAGGGGAGCAGAAGGAGCAGATGGCTGTTCCCAGTGAGGAGAGAGGTGCCAGCAGCAGTGGCAGGGAGAGCCCTGACCATGAGCCACCAGTGGTGCCCAGAGCTGCCAGACTGGGAGCTCGAGCTGGTCCCACCTCCCTGCTCACCCCACTCCTCTCGTGGAAAGAGGAGAGGAAGGCCATTTTCAGAAGCTGTACCACACCGAGACAATGCAGTGTGATGGGTTTGCCTTACAGGTGACACATGCTGTGCTTCTGGCAGCACTTCTCATCTTTGGGCAGGAAATCCTCTCCCCTTGTGCAGGCAAACCCTGTCTCCCTCCTTGTTCTGGCTCCAGCACTCTCACCTCCAGTGCAACTGCTAAACACACACACCCCTCAGTTCTGGCCAACAATATCTATACAGAAAAGGATTAGTGCTGTATAGTCTTACAATGAGATAGGATTGAAACAGTTCAACTTAAACTGCTTGAGGTTTCTCATCATATTGATATTTTGTGATTTTCTTTTCGTGGACAGGAAAATTTCCTAAATAAAAGCTGCAGTTTATCTCTTGACATACATAAGCAGGGGAAAAAAGGTATTTTAAATAGCTGCAAGAAACACTTCTCATCTTACTCAAAGTAAATGGTTAGAAAGCCACTCACCCCCAGTTGCCACAGTAATTTCACGTAGAAAATGTCCATAAAATGGAAAATCAAAGGACAAATTCACTCTCTGAAAAGAATAACAGCAGAAAATAAAATCAATATTGAGCAGAATATTAAGAGAAAAAAAGATGAACAGTCATCCACTTCAAATATCTCTTTCATTGCATTTTTTTTTTTACTGGAGCCTTGTTATTCTTAATTTGGAATTGCCAGTAGCTAACTAGAAAGAATTCTGAGGAATATTTAAACACTTAAAGCAGTGGATATTTATAACAGAAAACTTCATTAAAAAAATACATGAACAGACATTTTAACGCAATCACAAGAATAAAATTAATAAAAGATTTGTAGGGTTTCTCTTCGGAAAACTGTTGCTTTAATTTCTTTCTTAAAAGGACCCATCAATATGTAAAGCCTTAGCAATACCTATGTGTTACAGGATGCCTGCTATTATGGCTGCTGGCTTTCTGCTGCTCTGCCACATGAGCCTTCAGATTCAAGAGCTGTCCCTGACATCCTGCTGCTGCCTGGGTGCTTGTCTGATGAAGGCTGGTCACTGGAAGGTAACTCCTCCATCTAACCCATATCACACCATTTCTTAAAACTCTCTCTATACTGTCAGCTAGGAGATGGAATAATGCATAAAAAAATATTCAACAGACGCAATGACAAACTCTACTTAAGCTACTTATTGCAAAATAAAATAAATAAACAAAACTTTAAAACAAACCCTTTTTTCTTCCGCGTCTACCTACAGGTGACTGTCCTCTATCAGCTGAATTCATAGCAGAGAATTGTAATTTAGGAAATGAGCTCTTCTCCTCAACTAAGCTCACCATAAAGTAATATTCAAATTCAAACTTATTTTGCTTCTCTGCCTATGGCTTTATCTTTTTCATCTATTCCATTATTTTCCCAAAGCTCAATGATTATTGTGGCCACTAATAATTATCACCTTGTATGCTACCTGGTTAAACTCTGAATAAATTAGTGGTGGTGGCGGAATGGAGTGCTGAAATCTCAGCCAGGTCTTTTCACTGTTTAAATATAATATCCTGTGAAAAATGCATCTCTTCCACAATGGTCTAAATGTTAAATATGAAATAAGCATGCAGTCCATTATTCCTTCTTTTGGAGAATTTACTACAGTAAAAACTGGTGTGAAGAAGGGTTGTTGATGACTGTCCCTGAAGCTCAACTTTTGATGATTCCACTTAAGAAAAGTGTAACAGCCCATACATTTTTAAAAAGGTGGGGGAAGGAAGAAGAAAAGTACTCTTTTGTCTTTATTTTCCCTGCCATTATTTCTATCCTGTATTTATTGTTTCCAGATTGTATCTGAGTACTTCTTCTCTCAGGAAGAATTATATTTACATCAACCAGAAATGTTTAAAATAATTATTTAGCATGAAATTAGCAGTTGAAGACTTACAGTAACTTTAAATTAGATTTGCTTTCCATTTAAGTGGAAGACAGAATTATGACAGGATTTATTAGCACATTTTTTGTTTATTTTTAATTAGAATGCAAAATCCATTTGCAATGTGTTAATTGGACTGAGTAGGTTCTAATGACCTTTTCTGTATATACATAAATATGGATGTACAACTAAAATGGCATATGCAAAAGGGAGCACATGAATTAACTCACACAAATGTTCTTTTACCATATTCTACAGCTTTCACTGCTGAAGTGCATGCTACATCTATGAATGCACTCCATTTAAATTATGTCCTTGCTCTACCAAACATAATATGAAGAACTCCTTAAAACTACCAATTCTCTGACCAAACCTTCCCTCTTTCCTTTATACACCATCCTCCATTTTACCTCTGCTCTTTAACTTTCTGAATCATAGTAACCATTAAGCTACTTCAAATGAAAACTGTGCCCCCTTATCTGTCTTCTGAATTCTATAATATAAACATTAATATAAAGATGTTTGCAATTAAAATTTGATCCCATTCTTACTCAAGTCAGATATAGATCTCCCACTGACTTAACTCAAAATGTGATACCTTAAATTCTGACAATGTAAAAATGTTTAACATAGCCAATTTTTTACATAATACTGTAAGAACCAACATGATTTAAGTATTATTTTGAAACTCAAAATTCTAACAGTCATTAAAATTTTGCTTTTATTTTGATGCTAGAAAGCATATCTAATTTTTAAAAAAGAATATCAGAATTTCCAATTCACTGAAATAAAAATGCTTTCTCCATGATGGAATAAATGATAAATATAAAATGATCAAATGGACTGGAAGAAAAGGGAGTTGAGTTCCCAAGTATGATGTATCCTGTATTCTAGTTCAGTGTTTAGGTAATCAATTCTTAGATATCTAATCTAAACACACTGAATATCAAAGCCATCTCTAACATTTTATTAAATGGTTAAGAAGATGGTGGCAATATATTGAAAAACACCGTTATTATTAGTGTTATAAATCCTGTAATGTTAGACATTTTAATTGTTCCATTAATATAAGTTTGCTACTTTCCACAAACAATTACTATGCTGTTTATAAAGTCAAACCATCTCATGGATCCTCTCCAGGATTCTCTGCAGTCTTTGTGACTTTTCTTGTAGAAGCAAAACCAACTGACAGCTTCTGGGAACTCTCAGGATTATTTACTTCCAAATGAAGGAAAGCACACAAATTGAGTGTGAAATTGTTAACGTTCAAAGAATACCTGACATCGTAAATGAATTTCTTAATATTTAGCATGTAATAATTTAACTCCTGGTTCTATTGTCAAATTGGAGAATAGTGTTTAGAAAATATCATGTATATCATTGAGTCACAGTAAGATGTGCAAAATGGCCTTTTAAAAAGAGTAATGGCAAAGTTTATGGGAGAGAAGGTAAGAGATTGCTGCTGAGGTATGTATGATCTCAAAATGCACGACTCTGCAGTTGTACAGTTATGAATAAAGATCACATCTCTGTGTAAAACACCTTTGTTGTGTAGTACATATGGATGTTTACTGGACACACACACACATACCAAAAAATCAATTTATGCATCTACATAAATAAGGAATAAAACCTACAGGATCACTCTTTGGTACTTTTTCATCCTTTGGAGGACATAAAACAGATCTGAAAAATGGGTCTTTAAAACTCAATGTAGACATGGCCGCAGCCACTCAAGTCCAAGATATTTGGGTAAGCATGAAAAGAGATGGATATCAGTGTACTAAACAGGGACCAGAGCCTTTTCTGTTGGAGCTGGCAGAAAGGCAG